GGCGTCCTGTGGCTGGCCACAGTGACAGGCAAATCCGAAACCGGATGCCGCCAACCATATATATATATATATATATATATATATATATATATATATATATATATATATATATATAATCTGTGCTTTGCGTTCCCCGCAAGATGATAAGATCCGCACAAGACTGCTTTCCAAGTTGGACCGTTGCAGAATCCCTGTCAGTTGTTGCCGCTTTCCAGAATGAGTTCAAACTCCGCTCACGTTACATTACCGTACTTATCAACGGGATTCCTTCCAGGTTGTTGTTTGCTACGGACTCTTATATAGCTATCATTTCCAAGAGCACATGTAACCAACTCAATAGGTAGGCGGTTGCCGCTTCTGACAAGGTGGCTCAAAGCGCATCTGGCGGAATGCTGAATCTTGTTAGCCAAATAACCTGCGAAACCAGATTTATAGGGATAGAACATAACGGATCGAATCTAAATCTCGGAATCGACTATATCGAGAGTTTAGGACTCTGACGTCTCCATGCACCAGATTTGTAGCCGTGCATGGACACCATGTGAGATTAAACGTAAACCTGGTGGCGTCATTTGCGATATGCTTACTGGATCGCAAGCTCGCGTCCGCCATGCAGATCAGTTACGCCCAACACTGTGCCAGCGTGAGACGAGGAAGCCAATTGTACTGCCTTGTGGACCTCCTTGTGAACCATTTCAACTTACTGAAAACACACAGGGTCATCACCATCAACAGCAGTACATCAGCCATTTGAACTGATGCTTCGTAGCCATACAACCATGAGGATCTATGAAATAAAGAATAATAAGAGGGACAGAAGGGGACTCATCTGAAAACCTTAATGCCCTAAGCAAACATTCAGGGTCAAGGCGCCTACACCTTGTGTTAACAACATGCCGTCACAAACAGCTGGCTATCGTGCAAAGATAAGGCGACATCGGCGAGACAGCTTCCTTGCGGCTTTCACTGCCACGCGTCCTGATCAGCTATTACCCCGCAGATAACTCAGCACCAAACACACTTTAAACAGGCAATCCGATTAGGAGACGGCAGCAGACGCGCCACTGGTGTCCGTTGCGAGCCATGTCCTGTAAAGTCTCGAGCCAAGCGGACTCCAGCCCGGAAGGCGAGACGGACCGACGGCACCCAGTTTAGTTGTCAGTGACTTCATTTCCCGCTGCCAAGTCAGCTTCTGTCCACCTTGAGCCTTGCGCCACTCTCTGCCTGGTAGACTGAACAAGGCCCTCCTAGGTAAGCGGTGACCAGGCATGCGTAGCACGTGTCTGAGCCAGCGCAACTTAGCTTGACAGCTGTGTTCCTCGACTTCAAGAGTGCGTTCGATTCAGTCCATCGATGCGTTCGAAATACTTGCGCGGATAGGTGTTCTCACGAAATAGGTGAACATCTTACCTGCTCTATACTCGAACATTACAGACCGCTTCAAGGTTTACGGTGAGCTGTCGGATATCTTTCGGACAACAAGTGGCGTTCGTCAGGGTTATCCGATTTCCCGTCTTTGTTCAATTTCGTTGTGGACTGTATCTTGTAGCTTTCCCTTGCGGAATCTCATGATGTATGCGTTGATGTCCTGCCTGATGAAAGGCTAGTTGATCTCGATTCTGCGGACGATATAGTCTTGCTTTTTGACGATTTTGGTGCGACCCAGTCGACCCTGAATAGCCTCTCTGGGGTGGTCCCATTATTTGGTATGCGTTTCGTATCTTCAAAGTGTTGCTGCAAGACCAACAGCTACTTTATGACCCTTTCACCTTTGATAACGAGGAACTGGAGGTAGTTGATCGATTCATTTTTTTGGCAGCTACATCAGCAACGATGGGCGCAAGGAAACTGAAGTCAGTTCACTCATGGCTGAAGCCAGAACTGCCTTCTTAACCTGCGGCACCTTTGGCGAAAGAAGAAAGTTTCCCTCCGTCTGAAAGGCCGTGTCTACATGGCCACAGTGATGGCCGTCCTGCTTTTTAGTAGTCAAAGCGCCCCTTTCGGTCTGAATATCTGAGGCGCCTTCAAGTCTTTGATCATCGTTGTCTGCGAAGCATTGCTGGAGTCGGATGGCACCAGCGTGTCCGCAACGATGATGTGCGTAGGCGAGTACTAAGTGGTGATAATCATGCTATTTCCCTAGAACAACAGATAGCATTGTCAGACATTTGTAACGAATGCTGGACAGCGTTTGTTCATCGAGACTTTGTGAGAGGATTGCAGACACTTCATAAAATGACAAGTCAGTGCTCTTCTTTGGCAGAATATACTTTATGAACTTCTCATGTTCAGAGGCACCTAGCTCCCGAAGCATAAGACGAATTTTCTTTTTTGAGACGTTGACCAAATTGACCCGAAACATATCTTCATACTTGTGGAATCAGGAAGCGAACGTTACACTGGCATCATAATGAAATCTAATGATTTGTTGCTTCAGGGTTTTTGGAAATGGGACGCTTTCACTCGTTCCTGAGCCTGACTGTATCGACAACTTCTGCGTCAACATCTCAATGAGCTTGACCTAAAACTTTTCAGATTTACTTGCTGTTGCTGCAAAAGTGCCTGTAATCGTCAGAAACTAACTACCATTTCTGAGTTCAGTTGAATATTTCTGTCGCAACTGTTGTAACGCTGCCTTGGCCTCTCCTCTCTGTACCGTCAAACCAGCCGGGGAAAGGAACAGAAGTCCGAGACCGCCACCTCGATTGGTGGCGGCTTGCAAAGAACACCGTTGCTCTGGGGGCCATTCCTGTCTTGTGCACGTTCATAGGATGCATGACAGTGGAGGATGAGCCACGCTATATCGCAGTTAGATACTAGTCATGGCCATCTGCTGCTGTCGCCCATGGCTCAGTGGAATAAACTGCTGGCCCGTACGGGTAAGATCGTGTGTTCGAATCCAGTAGGATTCGGTGCTTGCGCGCTACCGACGAGTTCCAATAGGACGAAACAACCGTCTAGCGCTTTCCTAGATGTGTGGTTGTCTATCTGAATCTAACTGCGACGAATCTTCCCAAAAACGGTTAATTATATAGGTCACTTGCCGTCACATCCGGCTGTGCGTTTCTGGGCCGACTCACGTCCCTTGTCTAGACAGATTCAAACCTTTTAACGGTCTCCACTGGCCACTGTACCACCGGCGACCGGTAGCTGAGTGGTCTGTGCACATGGCTTGCAATCATAACCTCCCCGATTCGGATCCGCGTAGGGGTGGACATCCTCGCGATATACTCAGTCCGCGCGCGACTGCTGGTTGTCGCGCGGCAGCGAATCGCCGTTACAGCGTACAGCTGACACATTATTATTACTCCACTGGCCAGCTGTAGTCGCGCTCACGCCGGCCTCGTAGCAACCCGTGTCATGATGACAAACTGGTTTCATCAGCTTACCGTGTGACATGCCGCAGGCCCACTTCACATCTCGAAACCGTGTCACGGAGTTTACGGCTGTTTAATACCTTTCTTTTATAACAGCCATTAACGAGGTCATATAGACTGCGTTCGCTTAACACGACCTGCAATGCGTGGAGCTGCTTCCAGGTGATCGACTTGTTGACTTGAAGTATGCCAACGACATCGCGCTCATCTGCAGCAGCTCCTGAACGTGCCAAGTAACATTGAGAGAATTAGTATTGGCTTTCATGCGGTTCGGACCATGCTTTGCACCGTCGAAATGCAAATTCCTCCAGAATTGGCAGGGTCCCATCCCTGCGCTGACCCTTGGTGGGGATCAGTTAGAAATTAAAGTAACAGCGCTAGTAGAGTGGAAGATAACATCACATCTCCAGATGCTTTTGCGAATCTCGGCCACCTGTGGCGCCAGCGCGACATCACTTTCACCCTGAAGCGCAGAGTTTGCGATGCAAATGTCCTTTCAACCCTCGTGTATGGTTTCGAAACCTGGCCCATCAAGTCGACAGACATAAAGAGGCTAGTTACTTTCGATTTTCGCGGCTTGGCTTATGTCTGGTAGGAGCGCCGCGTGAGCAATGAGCTTGTTCGGCGTCGCATATTTGGTGCAGGAAGAGCTAGTAAGCCGCTCAGCACCATTATATCACACACCAGGCTCCGATGGCTGGACCACGTGTTCCGCATGCTAACACTCCAACCCCCGTGACTTGCATTGTTTGCGCGCCTGGGGTGCGGTTGGAAAATTACTGATTACTGGTCGGAAGCAGCAAGAACGGATATCTCTGTGTAGCTGCATCTAATATCATTCAGGGACAAAGACCTGTTATGTTGTGTTGCGCTCAATATATTTTGCGTCGGCAATCTTTTTGTCCGCAAACTTCTTAAATTCCGACACCGACTTTGCCTCAACTACTTGCTGCGGCAGGCCGTTCCATACATTCACCACTTTGCGTTCGAAACAGTTGGTAAGCGCTCCGCTTCAAATCCGGTACGACAAGCTTTTACCAGTGTCCTCATGTGCTGCTTAGTGTGCGCAGATGAATCAGCGGAGGAGGGGAGACCAAGTGACAACTTGTTATAGAGGATTGAGCTCTGTCACTTCGAACTTGGCGTTGGTTGGTGTTTCCCGACTGCTTGGCTAAAGTCCGAAGAACGTTAAAAACGTTACGTTAGATACAGTAGTTGATATGGCGCAGTGCCAGTCGATCTTAGTGGCGTTTGTGTTGTGTGCGTTTCTTTGTCCTTCCCCACCAGCTTGTCTTCTGTCCAATCACGATCACTCCCTTAGAGAATAATATGTTACTAAGAAATGTATTGCTTTTTTGTAATCCATAATGTTTATTATGTTGCTTTTTCTTCTACCTTTGGAGTGTGTTTTTCACCTTCAGCTAATGTGTACTGAGGATGATAGTTACCGTCACTTTTTACTGCAAAGGTGCTCATTTCTGTTTCATTCCCCACACTCTGTTACACTTGCCTGATCCTTGCAACACACTCTGTCTTACCTCATCCCGATTTTTGTAGCAGCATAATTCGGGGTCCATTTTTTGCTTGTTTACTTTTCTCCTAACATTTTTTTCATTATTTCAGCTCATTGAGTGCACTTTTCCATGGAGTGCGTCTGAGTTAGTTCGACTTCTTCCGTTAGCTGCTTCACGACCGCAATCATTGCTCGAATGTCACATCAAAGACCTGGAAAAGTCAGTCCGGCCACCCCCAAGAATACGATGTCGCCTCTTAATCGTCCTTGTGGACCCCACATTCCTGAAAATGAGGAGGCTATGGATGTGGAGCTGCTATCTTTCAACCCAGATACGGAAGAACATCAGCTGGACAACTCTCGATCTCCGAATTCTGTTATCTTCAATCAGGTAGTCAACCATTCTTGTGAGGAGACACGTTAGCTATACCACATCGTTTGGCTACATTATTTAGCACGTTATTTTCCTCCGGCTCCCTTTGTCTGAACTAGCAATCCTACATATGCATACGATGAGAGCATTTTGTGTAGTTGACTATAACATCTTAACTGTGACTGGTATTAGGTAAGGTTTATTTCAAGAAATCGAAAATATCTCCCACAACTTCTCGTCAGTTCGCCACGGTCATCGTCTCAAAATCCTACATTGGCTATTCAGATCCCGACAGTCTCCAGGCTCGCACATGAGCGTTATGATTGTGCACCACTGGGTACAAAACAGATTGCTAATAATTTTCCATTTCATTTCATTCCGTAACCTCTTGTACTTACCATCCGCTTTTTATTGGTAGCCATATTGACACTTTCACACAGTTGCCGCATCTTCTTAACTTTTTCTCAATTCATTCAAAAATCGGCATAGCGCACATGCTATACTTAGATATCTTTAACTCACCGGTTCCGAACCCAACGAAAACGACTACACTTCGCGTCTTCAGCTGTACTGAATTAAACGCTTTAAACTTATTTTAGATATCCGTATCGCTCTCAACAAGCATGTTAAAGGCAATTTACTCGACCGGATACCAGCAAGCAGCCGCATATGTGCACTTCGACTTCGATCGTCTACTGGGGTTAACAAGCACCGTCTGAAGACAAGGTGCCTTTTCTTCACTTCCGTTTATTCCCATGCTGACTGCAGTTTGGAAAAGATCAATGAGGTTTTTTTAGAGGGTGTATCTCTTAAGCAATGGGCCAGTGAACTTTACACAGATCAAACTTCAGCCATTTCTCAGAAATCCAATGTAATAATTACGTTATTTGATCAAAAGACGTTCTCAGACAATCTGATGCCATTGTTCGTAAGTAAAGAATAGACGGAAACAGAGGACATTCAAGATGGTCAACACGAACACATGCCCGTAGTCTGCACCTAGTAACTGTCTCGTGCTTGGCGGCCATTAAACTGGTACCCGAAACCCTGTTTTCTTGATCAGCTAATTGCAGTGTCGTTTTTCCGAACAACCAATCAAATTGGCCTAGCGCTACTTTGGGGACCATACCAGCTCTCATTCCTTCGCATGACGAAAAATACTGACATTAATGATGCGCTTTGCATTCCACCGATCAACCAACACGTGCTCTGTCACGTGTTGTTAGTGGACTTTATTGATCAAGACTTGAATTTCTGTTTGTCGTGATTCCACTATTCTCACGTCTTGGACTTTATCAGCTATTTGTGTTCTGTCTTTCCATTTTATAGTCTTAAATGCCTGAGGAGATTTGTCGGAAAGAGTACTCTTCGCAAAATTGTGTTCTTGCATTTCCATGAGTATAAGTTACGAGACATTGAAATTGTTGCTTGTTACATAAGTTCCCAGGTGGGTTGCCTTTCGGACTCTGAACAACGCGTTGGAGGTCGCTTTGGAGTGGATGCGCGCCCACCGGACAATGACGATTGATTCCTGCAACTATGCACCTACCGCGATCTTTATCTTAGCGGTACTGCTTTCCAGTACAAATGTTCACATCGTGTCACCTAGCTCCCACCGACTTCTTCACCGGCCTAGACTCAAATTTGCAATATCGCCATCAGCTACAGTTGCCGTGTGTCAGTCCAAGGTAGTCGGTAAATTTGGAGCACTTGTTTGGATTCCGACGCTGCACGCCAGCGTGGCGATCACTTTTCAAAGAAGCGCCTAACTTGTAGCTTGAACTCGTAATCCGCAGTTCCACAACACCATGACGAACTGATCGGCCATTTGTCAGTGATCAATGTGATTGGTGCTCCGAATGCTGTTTACAATCGTTTCAGGTGTGCTATGACGAATCCATTTGACACTTACTGTACGACCAACTTGAGACGTCCGAACTGTGAATGAATCTCTGATCTATCCATCGGTTTGCTCGAAGCGTGGAAGCACTTTCCAATAAGTACTGTGTTTCAACATTTCCTTAGCGTCCCGAAGCGACATATGGCAAGGAGTCTTCGGCTTGACCGGGAACGTTGGTGACTGGCAAGGGCCAGGGAAACGGAGAAAGCCAATTCTGTTGGGAGTAGCCTAGTGCTAGTCCTGTTCCTCCAGAATATGGGTCTTAGAAAGCCCTCAGTTAGTAAGACAACGGTCGAGAAAGATAGACAGTTGATCCATTCTCGGTTTCGTCAACTAGCTCGTTGGTTAGAACATTTTGAAGAGCAGTTCAGCAGGCCTGATACGACACGGACGTTTGTGGCATCACCTTCATTGGAGTGGGAAGTTGTCACACTTCCCACTTTGGTAAAGATTCAACATGAGCTCGTCGTGTTGAAACGAAACAAGGCTACTGAACCCTACAACCCTGTATCTTTGCAGAGCGCGAGATGAATCTTGTTGCTCTTTTGAACACTATTTCGTGGGACACCTCAGACAGGCGGCTGTCAATTATCCTGCTTATCTTCAAAACGGGTCAGCGTACTTTGTGTGAGAATTATCGAGGCATTAATCTTACTTCTACTTCTTTCAAACTTCTTACGAATATCATTCTTCTACGATGTACTAATCCTCGTGAGAGTCGAATCATTGAAACCCAGGTTGGTTTCCGTCCTGGTCGTGGTTGCATCGACCACATAATTACTCTTCGTCAAGTGCTGTAGTAGAGACACTAACAGACGACAAACTATAGTGGCTTTCCTTGACTTGATAGCCTCTGTTGACCGCAACAGCTCGTGGTAATTCCTATTCGTGAAGGCCGTGTCAGCCAAACTTTTCATGCTGATATCTTCCTACCGTGACTTCTGATTCCTCCACGGCAAGTATTGTTTCACCAGGGGTGTCCTATATCCCCGTTCCTATTCAACTTTGTAACCTAGGTGATGGTAAATGGATCAGTTCCATGGGGCTCTTCCAGAGTGAAGTTTTGCCTAGTAACCGACTGACGAACTTTGTATATGCGGATGACATAACTCTCCTTGGGTCTGATGCAGTGATCTTGCAGGCACTACTGAACAGGTTGACGCGTATCGCTACACGCTTCAACATGTGCTTTGCATGTTCAAATTGCGAAACACTATTGCAGGACTGGTCCGACACGCCACCGGTTCTAGCTACCACCGATGAGCCACGAAGTGGTGAATTGGTTCACTTACCTTGTTAGCTGTGGTCACATCACTGATGAGGTTACTTCACGTATCAACAAGGCGTGTGTGGCTTTCCAGAGGCTCAACCATCTATGAAGATGGCGGGATGTCGGCTTTTAAGTGAAGGTATAACACTGCGAGGAGACCCACGTTTGAATTCGAGATCTGGCCAGTTGGCAGTGATACATCAAACGATTGGCCGTGTTTGATTACCGATACTTGCGGAGTGTTACGTCTGGTGGGAACACCGGTTGAGCAGTACTGCAGTCCACCAGTTAGTTTTTGATAATCATCCTGGTGTTTTACTAGAGTCTGCTGTATTTTTACCGCTTACTTTGGCTTGGTCATGTCCTGCGTATTTCCGTTGGCCGTTTTCTTCGGTGTGCATTATCCGCCGTGGATGTACCAAGTTGGAGGAACTTCGAGTTAGCAAGTCGATGATTTGGCATGTGAAAGCTGGTCTGGAGACTTAGTCATGCTGGTGCATGCCGTCTTCGAGGTTAGGGACCCTGGAATGGTCCACGCCAGTCTCTATCAGTCATAGTGCAACCACACCGCAGTAATGCTCGTACATCGGATTTCTTACATGTATTTGTTGCTTATCATTTTATCCCGATTATTTTAACGTGCTTCTTTCCTGATTCCATTTTCTTTGTACGAGCTCTGCGCAATAAGTTTCTGGATAAGCAGTACACAGATTAGGTGCCGATGACTTCGCAAGATAAATGTGAACTGTAATCCATTCTGAACATCGTTAAGTGATTTCAGCTCACAGAACCCTATATCTATCAGCAGCCTAGCAAATCTCGCAAGTCATAAGGGTCGGTATATTCTGGAACTCAGTCGTTGTCACTAAAGCGCGATGATTTTAAATGAAGAAATAAATAGTTTTATTCTCGATGAAACGAAACACTCCATTACATGCATGATCAAGTGGTTGCCAGAGCCACAGAAACACTATAAGCATATGTGCATCAAACGGTGATGTTTGCAAAATACATTGCTCGAAAAATTGTACATAATTTTCGCCTAGGAATCTTTCAAGGATGATAGGCATGTCCATTGGTGTCAGAGAGAAATGTAACGCCGAGGCGCGGTAAAGTCTATAAATTTTCTGTTACGGTATTTCTGAAGGAAGGGAGGTGGGTTCGAATGGTTCGGAAGATTGATCTCCATTTTTCCGTGGGCGTAGGAATATTTGATGACCACTGTTGGACGAAAGATTGAAGCTCCAGAGTTATATGCAATGGTACGGATTCTTTTGTTCATATGCCATTGTAGTCGTGAATTTCGAATATTTAGGTCATTGGCAGTGTGAAGCAGCGGGTAGTGACTTTATTTTGGTGACCAGTCACATCCGCCTACGACTACACATGTAATGTGTTCAGCGATTGTGTGCTGCATTTGAGGCCTTTAAGAACCACTGTGTTTGAATGATTTGCATAATTCCAACCTGACAGTCGGTCCTTGGATGATGCGGCACGGTGTGATCGACTTGTGGAGACCACCACCGCGGACAGCATTGCTGCTGTGCAACCGAGGCTGAAGATGAAGGCGCGGGTGACTGGTATAGCTGGTGAAAACTATCGGCATCAGTCCACACCATCCTACATGAGAATCTCGGCTTTAAATTTGCCCACGCTGGACACCCATCAGGTCAATCAGGATCAGAAAGCAGCTAGAGTGAATTGATGCCGCATCATGTTTGCCAGGTTTGAAAGCGGACGTTCCACTGCTGTTTGGGAGATCCTCTCTGGTGAGGAGACATGGGTGTACAATTTCGACCCAAAAACCAAGCCCAGTGGACGGCCGTTAGGAATGGGCCGCCTCAGAAA